TACAATCTGAGGTACAGGATGTCAGGATAAATCCTGAGGGGTTTTGACTGACCTTATCAGATCCAAAAGCTAAAATTCTTGTTACATAGGTCTTGCTTTATCTTGGTCTTAACCATCCAGCAGAAAATTATAAAAACAGAGCATAAGAAGTAAAGCCATGTTGTTATGTTGAACTGCAGGGGACTCAGGTCAACAACCGCTGACATTGCCAGTCAAGTGGAAGACCTAATATTATTATAGACTACTGGACTATTTTGAAATATTTTGCTGAGTTCACACACCTATAATATTTAAATGACAGAACTAAACAAAAAAAGGGGATACAGATGAATGACCATTTTGTATCTGTGTATTCAAAATGGTTAGGATAGATATATAGCTACAATCTCTTAATTCAATGAATAGAGGGATTTATTCTAATAGTATTTGTAAATAGGGTATCATGTCTGCATCTTGTACAACAAATAACCACTAGGAAGACAGTATACAATGTGTTAATTACTGAAACTGTCCTAGCAATTTGATTAGAAACAGTCTCATTCCTATTTGTTTGTCAATAAAATTATGGGGGAAAAAATCTATGAAGTTAATATATTCATTGGCCTCAAGTTTTAATACTTCTGATGGCCTGAAATGACGATGCTGAATGCAGCCTCTCACACTGAGCCACAGATGAGCAGTAACACCAGGTCCTTCAGACACCAAGTGCTGTCTGGAGCCCCACAGCTGCAGAGACCCTGGGCGCATCCTGTACAGGTAGAGGCATCTCCGGTCATCCAGTGGTTGCTCCGTCCTGAAGCCCATTCTGTCTCTTGCAATACAGCTCTTCTACAGTTGCAGTCACAGGCCCTGCCCCAAGAGGGTGTTTTCATTTTTTAATGTTTTGTCACACCCACTTTAGAAATCTTGAAAAGTACTGTGAAGAAACACTGAGTGCATTTATAGCAAGATGGTGCATAGGGAATTTTTATGCACATATAATTGTGCATATTTTTATCAGGAAGCTGGGTGTGTCTGGGGACCATAAGACCAAGGGGCACCTTCCTGCAGTAAACAGTGATATTGAGCTGATGTAACCACAGGCAAGGCCACTGTGAGCAAGGATTGTGGAGGCTCATTGCGCTTCCTGTGTGCACTCTTGGGTTCTGGACAGTCTGCCAGTAGCTCTGAGTCAGACCTGTCTTACAGCAGAGCTCTAGCCCTGGGGAAAAAGGAGCTTAAAGAGCAAGGAGAATGCCAGCTTTTGACATGAGGCTGCTGTGTGTGAAGGGGAAGGAGGCAGAGGTGACACGGGTAGAGAGTCTCAAGTCCCAAGAGGCCAAGGGAAGGGAGCAGCGGGAGCAGCTCTTTGCGTAAAGGCCAAGGCAGTGCTTCTACTGGCCGAAGTTCATTCATTTGTTTAGATTGGTTTGTAGAATGGGAGCATTGCATGTGCTGAACCACTTAGAGAGAAATTCAGCCATTAACTTCATCTAATGCTCTTAGTAACTGCTTTCTCCTGCTCTAAAACATAACCTAAGTAGTAAGGCTCTGGAAGACCTCAGAACAAATACATAAGACCGTCTGAGGTGACTGATGATTTCTAATACATCAAAGGAGTAAATGAAAATAAACTGAAAATGAAAAGGATTGCAGGCTAGTTAGTTGAGCAAATATCAGTGATTTGGGACTGATGATGTGGCCTGGAAACATTTAAGTGTTATGAAAGAGAATGGTTCTCCAACTGTTGCTGGTCAATAAAGTACCTCATTAACTCGCATTTTCCAGGGATTTAGCTGTGCTCTGTAATGTTCCATCCTCCTAATTACACTGAAGGTGAGGCTTTTATTTTCCCCATATTGGGGATTAAAGCTTGGTAACAAGATTTCCAAGAATGTTCAACTATGACTCCCAAGCAAATAAACTTACATGATCCTACAGTGGGATCTTTATTAAAGTAAAATTTTAAAAAAGGTGAAACTGATTCCTGTGAAAATATTAAATAAATATTTGTCTAATATTTTCTACAAATTATAGATGAAACAGTAAGGTGATAAACCCATTTAAAAGAAAACTCATTAATGCCCAATAGGGTAATAAGTTGAAAAGATTTAGAATTACTTTTTACTTTCCCACCAAAAAATTATTTAAATCACTGTGGGACAAAACCCACAAGGTAACATCTGTCTCTCAGCAGTTTGAAGTAGCCTGTTCCAGAGAACATCAAGCTCAGAATTACACTGAAAGAATCTCTTGTGGCTACTTATGAGTTTCAGAGAACAATTCTCATAAGACAAGTTATCTTTCACAATTGAAAGTTCTTGATTGTTAGTCATATTATTTAATTTTTAGGAAAAAAAACCTATCATTTTTATTTGACTTACATACCGTTTTTGTATCTTTCTCAGATGAACACTCTAAATGTGTCTTTCATTCTGTGCTGAGGTAAATAAGAGAATTTTGTAAGCATATATCGATGAATCAACATCCAGATATTTGTTAAATATAACGCCATGCTTACTTAAAAGCAAAATAAAATGAGCAGGCCATTGCACAAGCTCAGAAATTATAAATATATTAAGGATAAGTCTGGTATGTTTTATATTTTAATAAGTTCCCTAAGTCATTAATGAAGTTAATAAACATGAATATTATAAAGAAATCTTCAAACATAACTGGTGAGCTTGGCTCCAAGCAAAGACGTTGAATCATTTTTTTAAAATTAAAACTTCTCTTAGAATTCATACCTTTAAACTTATTTACGTTGTTCTTATACTACAATGCTAAATGCACACCAGAAAAAAGATTATGATGGTAGCAAACACACACACACACACACACACACACACACACACACACAATCCAAGAAAAGTTGTGATGAGTCAATTGTTTCCTTTTTCATGGATAAAAATAACAACCATCCTAAGCTTTTGTCAAATAGCACATCTACCCAAACACATACATGCTTAATTTGTAATGTATCTTTCTCAAATGAACATTCTAAATGTGTCTTTCATTCTGTGCTGAGGTAAATGTCAGAATTATAGGGTTAAGCTATGTCTTTATTTTCATATCAACACCTTAAAGAAGGTCACATGCAAACAAGTTTTTCCATGTCCTCCAAGGTAAATTATCAGATTTTAAATTTGTTATACGTTTAAATAAGCCACATGATATGCATGTGTGAGCCAAATTGGAGCAAAATCTGGATGTGTTTGAAATACATCAAGTATCTTCATTGTTTCAGTTAGAAAAGAGTGTTTCCTAATAAAATTAAAGATTTGTCCTGCAGCTGCCCATTACCCAAAAATAATACACCGGGAATTAGCTACTGATATCAAAAGAAATACACTGTTCACTGGTTCATATAACAAACATAAGCGTGTGTGCCCAGGCCTTTCCGCTAACGTGAAGCACGCCGGCATAGTCAGAGGCCAGGACGTGCAAACTCGCAGATGGGCGCACCAGGCGGCCCGGAAGCAGATTAGTTGGTGACCACACTCATGCGGGTTTCGGAGAGCACTGGACTCTCTCCGTCGGTATCTTAAATTTGGATTCTGATGACAAATTCTGTAAAACGTACATTAAAATGAGAATATGTCATCTTGGTCAAACAAGGCAGAAAGGCAGCTAGCCGAAGAATTATTGCAGGTCAGTGGCTCTGTCGAAGTAGGAGCTGGGCCCCGAGGCTTTTTAATTCTTCAAGGCAACAATCGATGAGATGGGGCGCGGTGGCAAGGCCTGTAATCTCGGCGCTGGGGAGGCTGAGACAGGAGGATCCCCACGAGTCCGAGCTGCGTGGTGAGACACTGTACCAAACACATTAAAAAAGAAAGAAAGAGAGAGAGAGAGAGAGAGAGAGAGAGAGAGAGAGAGAGAGAGAGAGCAAGAAAACAAAAGAAAAGAAAAGAAAAGAAAAGAAAAGAAAAGAAAAGAAAAGAAAAGAAAAAAAAGGACAATAATCGATGAAAGGACATTCAGACAAGGAGGTGGAAGTGCTGGGGAGCACCACTCGGCACAAAAGGCCAGAGAACAGCCCAAGAGCAGTTTGAAGCCGGCAAGGAAGCCCGCGCAGGGGCCGAACGCTGCGACCGACCCAGCGGAGGGAGATTAGAGACGTCACCGCGCGGCCGGCGCAGTCTCCGGCCTTGTCCGCGGCGGGCTCCGAGCTGCCCCCGGCCCCGGCGCAGTCGGCGGCCACACGCACGCTCACTTAAATCCCAGCCTGCGTTGGGCTTCTTCACTCGTCCTCGGCACACGGATACCGATTACTCGTCACCAGAAAGAAGATGGTGCCCTTTAGCAATAACAGACTGCGAAAAGATAGTGTATCATATTCGTAATGAATATTCTTAAACTTTCAGGGAAAGAAAAAGTTTTTAAACAAGGTCCAGGACGGAAGATGGTGAGAGGTATGATTATTTCAGGGGTGATGTATGAGCAAATCCATGCCATCTGATGAACTTAGCCCCCTCCCCTGGGCATAAAGGGCCGACAAGGAGCATTACAGCAAGGTCCTTCGAACATAATTTAGAAGTCAGTACAAGAAGTTTAGGGAGACCCTCCCGTTTGGGGCTCGGTATTGTTGATACTCCCTGTTTTATTTCTAGTCATGCGTCCTCATTGGCAAGAATTGCACAGTTAGCGTTTTCTTTTTGTATGTATGTAGTACAGGGTCTACGAGTCTCACTCTACAGATCGGACTCGCAGCGAGCCTCCTGTTTTCAGCCTCCCAAGCACTGGGATTACAGGCGCTCGCCACTGCGTCCAGCGCTGTCTCAGCGCACCCGGGGGGCGGGGCCAGCACGGCACGCTGGGGATTGAACCCCAGTCCCAGCGCTCCGCCTAAGTAGGCTCTTTAATCCACTGAGCCAGCCCTTGACAAGTTAGGTTTTCCTTTATCTTGCTTGCAGTTCTCATACAGGATTCAGCTAGATAATGTATTCAAACACACTCAATATGTGGACATATTTTCATATATGGGCAATATCAACTAAATCAGAATAAATATAATTCCATAGAACAAATCCTTTATTATTAATTATACAAAAATTATAGTATATCTTTTATAAAATGATAACATATTTAAAGCATCCATAGAAGACTCTCTAAGTTCATTTCAAACAGGGAAATTATTGCTTAGAATTGTCTAATTTCTAAACTGTTAGCCGAAAAATGAATCAAAATAGAGAAATAGCTAACAAATATACAAATTGTTAAACATAGATGTTTTATATTGGCAATAAAATAAATTTCTAAAAAGGAATGGGGTATGTAGACCCTACTCCTCAGAGATGGATGATGATTTATAGATACTTCAGAAATCATACTCTTGATTTTGTATTAGTCCACTACTTCTGTTTGGAAAGTGCTGTAGATGCTGGCCGTTTTGCAGTTGTTGCTTCTGAATTATCCAGCACAGACTCACCTCTGCATAGTGTCGCAACCGCTGTTCTAACAACCGGCAATAGCAGAACCTTAGAACCCGCTCCCACTAGAGCTGGACGGCTCAGACAAAACGGCATACAGTGCAGCTGATCGGTCAGAACCTCCAGTTCCTACTGCCCTACTAAATGCACAATACTATTGAAAGCTAGTTGGAAAGATTATAACTAATCTGAAATCTGTTTCTAAGAGAAATTGTGATATTAGAGACAAATACAAATATATATTTTGAGCAGCATGTTTTAAAACTCCTTGTAACCTCTGCATATAGTGTTCAGCTCCATCTCATCTATGGGGTTGAATTCATACATTTCATGTATTCGTCTGTACTGCCTCATACTGGGCGAATGTGAGGTCAACATACTTAGTTTTAAAATAAAAATAAAAATGCCGGTGCACACTGAGCGCGCTAGCCTTGTCACTCGTTCATGGGTAGCACGCTGGCCCCATGCGCGTTGATGTACGTCATGAGGATTCGGGCCCTCCGCTCCACGACGTCAATCAGCTTCTCAATCCCTTGCCTCCCTCCTTGGCTTTCCCAGTACACTTTATCAAGGAACAGAGACTGCAGGAGTTTCTGCCGTAAGTGCTGGCTCTTCAAAACAGAAACTGCCGATTCGGGAAATCTGAAAAGAAAAAAATGACATTTCATTCTTAGTAACTGCTTGGGATCTTCCTTCTTTTCTTAGCTGGTCTGCCCTTCATTAATCTGGTGGAAATCTCATCATCAAATGGCACCTTGAGAACCAAAACTTGTTTGTCACTGCCGAGTTAACACATCTCTTAATAATGATGTACTAGAAGCCTGGGCTTTAAGCAAACTGAATTTTTCAACCACTCAGAACTTGATGTACTAGCATTTTATTTAAAGTCATGATAAGCAGGCAAAGAGAAGAATGTAAATCAGGATTCCACTAGATCAACAAGGATATTCCCTCAGTCCTGAGTGCTGTTTCATCCATCACAAGCCCTCTAATCTATCCTCTAGAATATTATCTTCTTACGTGTCAAGTAGAGTTTTCAGCAAGAAAACACAAACAGCAAAAAAAAAAAAAAAAGCTCACTGTTTGTCTCAGTTACTCTTCTCTCATTGCTGGGACAAATACCCAACAACCAAAATGAAGGAAAGAAAAGTTGGTTCATCTAGCTCACAGTTACTGGAGGTTTCAGTCCATACTCAGCTGGCTCCAAGGCAGAGTGGCACAGGGCAGAGAGCAACTGTTCATGGCGGTGGCGAAGAGCAGAGAGAGACAAGGGAGGAGTAGCAGCAACAAAGGCAACAGAGAGCAAGTCTGTCTCCCTTATGGTATATTCAGTCTATCTGTCCCAGGCCAGGTGTAGTACTCACCCCCATAATACCAGCATCACTCATCCATAATCCCAGCTGCACTCACCCACAATCCCAGAAGCACTCACACCCATAGTCCCAGCACTGGATCATGAATTAATCACAACGTCTAGAAGTCCACCCCATGACTGCATGAGGCTTTGGGGGGACAACTAGACACAAGCCATATCACTGCTGTGGTAAAATACTTTCCCTAGATAGAAGTTACACCACTGAATTTGACTTACACGGTATCCCAAATGTATGTAATGAAAGGAGAAAAGAATCATTCAAAAATGCCCAAGTAGAGAAAGGCGTGCCTTTGGTTCCATCACACTTCTAGAGCTCCGGTGACTTAGAATGTCACTAAGCACACTATTCCAGTGAGCTATCACCCAGCTCTGCAGTCCTCCCTACAGCCCTGGTGTAAGGCTCGATCCTGGGCTGGCCGGTGCCCTGGAAAGTGGTGGCGCCTCTAAAGGTGGGCCCACTGGACGTTTAAGTCACCGGGGCGCGCTGAGCTGCTGTCTGGGAGGGTCCGCCAGGCCCAAGCCCACCCGCCATGCCACGGCTGCGGCCCCAACGAATGGAGCCAGCCGCCATGAGGGAAGCTCCGCCGCTGAGCGCCCGAGCTCCCCTGTCCTCTGGGTTTACTGTCTCAGGCATTGGGCACAGTAAGGGAGAGGCGACTTGCACAACGTGTTTTCAAACACGTTTAACAAAACTGAAGCTTGAGAGCCAGGGGAGTCTGTAAAGGACAGCTGTCTAAAGAACCTGACAAGTGCTCAGGAGAGACTATGCTGACCACCTTCAGGGTGCTTCGTGCTTTCTCCTCCAGTCGGAACGCACGAAGCCAGGGGCCTCGGATGTGCTTGCTCTACGCGAGGAACTTCACAAAATTTCTTGTTCAAAAATCGTAAGCAGCATGTTACTAAAGCACACACCCAGACGGACTCTCCCTGTTTTAGTTGAAATGCTAAGGAAAGCACGGTAGAGCTATTGGGTGTGACAACTGCTTTGAAATGAACTGAATTTTTTTTTTTTCTGTGTTTTAGGGAAGGGTCTACAGGGTGTTCAGGGTCTCACTACTATATCAGACTTGCAGTGATCCACTTGTTTACAGCCGCCCAAGAGCTGGGATTACAGATGTGCACCACCACCCCAGTCTCAATTGCAATCTCAGCCCTCCCTGGGGGGCGGGAGTGGGGCTAGCACTGCAGGCCTGGGGATCAAACTCCCGGCCCCTGCGCCTGCTTGCAGGTGCTTCAATCCGCTGAGCTATTTGGCCGGCCCTGAAATGAACTGAATTATGCCACTTAAACACAGCAAGAATAGACTCTTCCTTACAGTGTGCACATTGCCAGCACTCAAGCCTTCTGGGTATAACTTTACAAATTTCAATGGGTCATACTAGGCTAGCACACAGGAACCAGCTGAGAGGGCGCAGGCTCTAGGAACTCTGATGCCCTCCAAGACCCCTGGCCTCAGAGATGGCCTGCCTAATGAGTCTGAGAAGTGTGGAATTAACAGTGCTTATGAGGTGTTTTGAGCTCTCTGAAAATCTATGCTACGAAATCTAATCAAAGCAATATCATTAAGTAGCATTTTTGCTTCATGATATATTAAGAACCCATGGTTCATAAATTCTATAGCCCTTCAGCTAAGTTAGCTGTGACAGAATGTAAAAAACAAAACTGTTAAAACAATTATTCTCTTTAGTAATTAATCCTCTTATATAAAGAGAACAAAAATATTACTAGTTTTTGCATTATACTAGTTAAAAAGAATACTTAAAGCATAAATCTTGGATTAGTGAAGTCTTCACTTTTGCTTTTCAGTGTGAATTATATATTCAAAGGCTATTTAACTTTAAACCCGTTACTCCTTACAATGTACTTAAAGCTAAATCTTCTTTGCAAGGATAAGTAAGAATATTCATATCTACATGAATGTTTGAAATGGATAGACATTTTTTCAGGCTCTCTTCATTCTAGGAGAAAATTTAAGGCCCTTATGACAACACAGTAACTGACGCCTTGGGAATATAAATTTCTTTATAAACAGAATTTCCTTTGCACACAAAAGGCAAAGAATGTGTCACATACTGTGCTTTCAATCTACAAAAAGAGGTGAGGGATGGGTTATCCTTATGTTGCAGGCAGCCAAATTAGACAGAAATATCATGGGCAGTCAGATGGGGCCAGGCCTTTGAAGGAGATGACACAGAAGACCAGAAGACAAGATACCTTGCAACCATGGGAGGGACAGACGCTCCTGCTCGGAGCCAGAGACCAAGCAAATGCTGACCTCCCTGAAGATTAGCATCCCGGATTGATCCTCACCCTGAGAAGGCCAGAGAGAATCCTTATCTGATGGCTACCAGATAAGGTCCTGTTCTACATTCATGCCTGCTTGCTACATGACTCCCTTCCCCATTCGGGCCTGGGCTTAATCAATTTTACCTGAGCAATGGTGCTTGTAATCCCATTGGTTGGCCATAGTTTTGTCCCACCCCACATCCACCTAAGAGAGTTCCCCCTTTCTCCATCTTAGCCCCACATGGTTTTATCCTATAAAAGTCCCTGGAAGAGACATTTTCCTGAAGGACTACCCACTTGGACCCCCTTCCTGTTTCTTCCTTGGACAGAAGCTTTCTTTCCCTCAATAAATATATTCTGCCCATAACCTCCATGTGTTCCTAAAATTCATTCTTCAATTTTAGAGAATACAAACTCATACAGGTCAGGTCAGGGGCTCATTTTTCCCTGTATCATTTGGAGGTCACCCACCTGACCTCAGTTTTTCTCCCTGTATCACATGGGGCAGGACAAGATGGAAGCTCTCACAAAAATGCTATTATTTGTCATGAGCAAAGTACATAAATCCATCTTACTTAAGCCATAGTTTAGGGCTAGAAATTCAGATATGCTTCAGACTAAAATTTGCAAGGATTTGGGGGTTTTCATGTGCCATACTGGGAATAGAACTTGCGGCCTAGTACATACTACATTCCCTACTTTGTGAAGAAGAGTAGTAAGCTAGCATGGCCATCAATTGGTGTAAAAAGAAAAATATGCTAGTGGAAAATTTGAAAGGCTTGGATTCTAAACTATTTTATTGAATGGAATGGTATGGCATGGTGTGGTGTGGTATGGTGTGGTGTGGTGTCATGTGTGGTGTGGTGTCATGTGTGGTGTGGTGTGGGGTGACATGGCCTGGCATAGCATGGCATGGCATGGCTTGGCATGCTTTGCTACAGTATGCTATGGTATGCTATGGTATGCTATGGTACGCTATGGTACGCTATGCTATTATATGGCCTAAAAGGCATCACCCTCTTGCCTCAGCCTCCAACTCAGCTGGGACGACAGGCACGCGCCACCAAGCCAAGGGGGGCCTCAGTATCCAGCTTGCGGTTATACTTTCCTGAGTCCTTGGCTTTCTCAGTGCTGGCTTGCTGTTTCACCAGGCACCCCCATCTCGTAAGTCTCCATCTCCCTAGTTCCTCAGTTAAGCTCATCCCTGAGCAAGGCAGAAAGCATCCATAGGGTAGCCCCACCCACTGGGAGGTGGGGTTTGAAAGCTAACCACGGCTTCCACAGCTAGGTTTAATGGTTCAGACCTTCTAGGTGGTTCCTGCCCTTCTGCTTCGCAGTTGCCTCCGCTTCCACACAGACACCAGGCCGGGGTGCCGAGCAGGGCTCTACCTGAGGCAGTGCGGAGCTCCGCTCCCGTCCCAGGCCCGTGCACTTGCCTCCCTGCATGCATTCTACCCACTGCAATGGTGCCAGAATGTATCAGTTCTCCGCTCTGTACTTTTTTTCAAAGAAAATAAAAACATTTTTAAAACATTAAAAATGATACAGAAGGGCTGACCAAATAGCTCAATGGATTAAAGAGCTTGCAAGCAGGTGCAGGGGCTAGAGGTTCAATCCCCAGGCCTGCCATACTGGCCCTGCCCCCCGGGGCAAGCTGAAATGGCAATTGAGACTGAGCGTGGTGGCGCACGCCCGTAATCCCAGCTCTTGGGAGAATGTAAACAGGCAGATCCGATCTAGTAGTGAGACCCTGAATACTCTGTAGACTCTTCCTTAAAAAAATACAAAACAAATAAATAAGCTAAAAATTGATTTTAAAAATGATAGAGTTCCAAAACAAAAATGATAGGAAATTAACTATGGTCATTATATTATTTATTGCTATCTTCAGAGTCGTTGTTCACATTACCAGATGTATACATATAAAATTGATCAGTTAAGCATTAACTGTTCCCCTCAGCAAACCAATAGAAATTAATAGCATAAGTATCTTAGCTACCTTGTGTATGTGTATATTTTCCCTTCCTTCTTTTTCTCCTTTTCCTCATCCCAGTTTTTTTTCCCCTTTTGAGCGTTTATTCCCTTTCACAGAATCTATTACACCTCTCAGATTTTGTTCACTCTCTTAGTTTCTTATATGAGGGAGAATAAGGCATGTGAGCAATCCCGCATAGAGCAGCAGTCCTTCCCTGTGTAACCGCCGCTGGCTCTCTTTTCTGTGTGGTGGATGTGCTCCCCTTTGAAGCACAGTTACTAGAAGACTACACGCACTCAAAACCATCGTGCTGGGCTGGTAAGATAGCTCAGCAGACTAAGGCCTGCTTAAGCAAGCACAGGGAAGAGTTCAGTCCCCAGTAGCACATGCCACACTGGCTCCACCCCAGGCAAGCTGAGCTGGCCACCAAGACTGGGCCTGGCGGAGCACCCTTATAATCCCCGTGCTGGGAAGGCTGAAAACAGGAGGATCACTAGTCTGAGCTGCCTAGTGAGACCCTGTACCAAATACATAAAAAAGAAAACCATCCTACTTGACCTAAACAGCCCACTGTACCTTGGTACTGTGACTATGCCAAGGCTGGCTTTCATTTTTCATGACTTCATGAAAGTTATTCAAGATTAACTAGGAATCAAATGCTCTGCCCCGCTGCTCTCTGCATATCTCGCCGTCTCCACCCTGCTCTCTCCTGCGCCCTAATAACAGCGCTTCTGCTGCTCACTCCTTCCTGTTCCTATTTCCAAGCTCCCTGGATTCTTCCACATAAAGCTTTCTGAATTTCCACCAAGTGAGCCAAGCAACACAATGAATGCAAAACATCGTGGCCTTCTGGGGCAGCATAGGCTGTCACGCAGCGCTCTCTCGGGATTCCACTCCCAGGTTCACATTTACAATTCTTTTCAGTGATGAAAGCAATCAGACTTAGATGTGAGTTTTCTGAGAATGCTACTACCGACTTCACATAAATGTAATTATCCCAGAAGTTGTTACTCTCTCATAAAACTTACTCTTTGATGCCCTCTAACAACTTGAAGTTTAAGTTATCTTCACTCCGGTCAAAAAAACCCTTATTGTCTAGAAAGACCAAATGTCTCGGGTCATGCTTTCGCTGGATAATGTGCGACAGACTTGCAGCATTTTGGTCATGACAGTTCAGCCTCAGTCCATTCCTTACACAGGCATCTTCCTTGCGAGGTCTGAAGCCACAGCAATTTCTGTCTAATCGATTGTAAATCTGCAAAAAGAAAACAAAAGTAAAATCTAAGGTGCTGAGTGAAAACAAAATCTGGAAAAGTTACAGGATTTCCAAAGAGCTGATGTCTTTTCAATGTCTTCGCTGCTGAAATCCTTCAAATAGAAGCAACTGGCAGAGTGACTCCAAGTTCCAGGCCTTCTGACTCACTCATTCCTTTAAGCACGTCCAGTTTCTGCCAACAGCTCCACAGTCAGACTGTCCAAGTTAGGGATCTCCACCCTCAACACTCAGAGTTCCCACTGACATCACACACAGAAGAGTTGACAGAATCCCTGACTCAATTCAGGAGAGGAAAAAAACTGTCATACTTCGCATGCCCAAGAGGCTGTAACTTCTCTTCCTGTCTTCATTTGGTTTGTACAAAATCTGATCGCCTTTTCTGGCTGCAAAAGTGTACTACATCAGATAAAAGCATGACAGTAACTCATCTATGGGACCACATGGCTATCCACGATTTATCCAGAAGGTCACAGTCCTGGCTCTTGAAGTATGCTACTTAACATAAAGGTCACTCACATACAGGAAACAGAGACAAAGGTCATTTGCCAGTTGTTGACATTTGCTGAGCAAATGACATTCAAGCAAAATCGAATGACAACTCCAGGGAAAAGCAAGTAACCACTGCTGATGAAAATGTGTGCATTTGACATGAGCAGAGGAAGGCTTCCCAGCAAGGAGCAGGAGAGTGACGTGTGAAACTATAGTTCAGAAGGGTATCTGAAATAGATAGAGCAGGAAGCAAAAACTAGTACAAAATACATAGTCCTGTTCTCCTCCAGCTCTTTATTTTATGGAGCTTCATGATGGTCTGCCTATGAGCGAGAGATAATGATGCACATTACTGTTGTATTATTGCTCATTACTTAAGAAGAGGTCAGAGAGAACATAAAAAACAACTTTGCAAAGTGGCTCTCTAGCTGCGGAGATAGCTCACCGGCACAAATGTCTGCCTGGCAAAGACAAGGTCCCCAGTTCAATCTCCAGGACCACAATCAAAACAAAACAAAACCAAGCAGCTCTCTATTGAAGCCCCCCGCCCCCCTGCTTTTAAGACATCAGCTAATAAGAGTCCTCAAAGAATCTCCATGTCTTTTCTGTCACAATAAGTTCAGTTTGTTGCATTCAGTTTGTTGACAGTTTGTTCTATATATAATGACAGAAACTAGATCCTTTTAGTTTTGTTGACAGCCTCACCACTTATATTGGACATATGTATTTAGAATCTGATTCATACAGCAAATCCGGACTGCTAAGTTCCTCCACTGCAACTCCATATTTGTCTGGAAAGATCTAATACACAGCTATATTTGAATTATTTCTACAACAAAGCTGAGTTCATCAATTTCCTGCCACTAAACAAAATATCTGAAATAACCAATCCATAAGAAGAAGATGCTTACGTAGGCTCATGGTTTTAGAGGTCTTTGTCCATGGTTTTAGAGGTCTTTGTGTGGCAGCACAGCACAGAGGGAACAGGAGGTGGAGCAGTACGCTCTCTTCCTGGCCAGAAAGTAATGGAGGGAAGCAGAAGGAGTGGGAGTCTCAGCAGCCCTGCCAGGCCACGCCCCCAATGACCTCACTTCCTCCCACTAGACCACACCTTTTAAAGGTCCCACTCTCTCCAAATTGCATACCAGACTGTAGTTCACAACTTTGGGAGATACTGCATAACCAAACTATAGCAAAAGCCACAATTAAATACATTCTTGCTAAATAATAAGCTCTTTCATGTTTAGGCCCTAACTTTCAATAGTTCAATAAATATTATGTTTCTATTTTTGAACCATATGGAAACAATTGAAGGTTAGAAGCCAAAAAGAATAATGTAAATTATCTTTTTACTTCTTTATCAATATTAGATTCTTTCCCACATTGTATTTGTAAAGTGCTTCATCTAGTCTAATTTTAAATCACTCAGCATTCTGCGATAACTTCAATGTTTCCCTGGCAGACTGTTACATCACTGAAGTCCAACAGACACTTATGGAAAATGGGCCTTTGTATTCAGCTTCATTTCTCTTCCAGAAAATGGTGCCACTCACTTTATTCAGATCACTGCATGTGCTTGGCACATTACCAGGGGTGTGTGTGTGTGTGTGTGTGTGTGTGTGTGTGTGTCCCTGCATACACAGGAATGTGCACATGCTTACACCTAGAGAGGAAGGGTCACACTATGATGCCTACAGAATCTATTTTATTTGTTTTCCTCATCCTCCAGCTATTGTAGATCACATTTTTGTTTGTTTCCCTTTCTAGCAAAAGGGAAAATTTTGCTAGAAACTTTCTAGCAAAAGATTAATGTCTCTTAAATCATGCTAATTCTCAGAATTTTGTTTGCAGGCCTCCTTCTGAATTCTCATTATATATAGCAAAAACCTTGCCTACAAAAGAATAATCTACTGCCTTAAATTCAGTACCATTATGCTGGTGGTTGATTTAATTATTATACATTGAACATGTTTCTGCTTACTTCTAAGACTGCATTTTAAAAGCCTAATAAAGTATATTCTTATAGCTATAAATCAGTAATATATTTTTAATGTATTTAGTACACACATTAAACCCTCATGCCATTTAACTGTCACACGATCAAGCGCAGGAGCCCACCTGCACATGTCTGTGCTCTTAGGTGATTACCCTACAGCGAAGTCCACTTGGGGATAAATTTTGTCATTTAGGCAACTGGGAATGTAAATCCCCATTGCTGATACTTATTGGAATTTATGTCTCTTCATTCTTTAAAACAAGACAAATTCTTTTCCCAAATCGGTCTTCTGCATCTGAAGAGGACAGCCAACCACTACTTTCTATGAAGTCACTTCTTCCTCTTTTAAGAAAATATATCCTTTCAATGTTTACCTAACTAAAATTATGTGCACAAAATCCAGGTGTTCCAGCCAAATTTTTAGTTGGTGTTGGCTTTGGTAGTGCTGTGTTTTCACATGCTTTTCCCTCTACGGGCTTTTTTTTTTTTTTTTTTAATTCTACTTTCGCTTGGTAGTGCTAGTGTTGCCTGGATGGAGAAAGAGTGTCTCAAGTGAGTCACTACTGCTCACCAGGTCTGAACGGGGTGCTTTGGCTCTCCACGAGCCATTAGAAGTCTGCAGAAACCTAACCACTCTCAACATGTGCACGCACCACCCAGACCAGCTATCTCTGAGAGGCTGGGTCGCTGACTCTGTGTTTCCTTTTTCCTCAAAACAATGACGTTTTAAACAAATTCTGGCAAGGCCTGAATGAAACCCATAAACATATACTAAATATGCTGTTAGTGTTAAAAATAATGGCATACCTCCGGATACCGCAGGCTGGGTTTCCCCAGGAGTTGTGCACTGACTGCTTCCCCTGAATCTCATGGTACCTGCACAGATAGGTGTCAGCAGCAGTCCCACGTGATCAGTGAGGAAACTGAGGAACAAAGAGGTCAAGTGACCTCCGCTCAGCACACGGCAGCTGCCCCCGAATTTGAGGCCTGTGCTCTCACCCACCGTGGGTGCATGTTTCGGTTGTGCCTCTTCTGCCCCGCTTCCCGCGACATCAGAAGAAAAGCAACTACACAATACAGGATTTACTCATTAGGATTGACTCTAAGGTTTCCAGCAGCAAAACGAAGAACTGTGGTAAAGGAATTCAGGAAACCTCATGACAGAGAGGACACTGCAGTCAGCAGTTAGGTGCCAGGTAGTACGGGCTGGAAAACACAGGAAGGCAGGAGGGAGAAACCCAGGGACCTCTGCATAGAAATGGAGACTGTAGTAGACCATGGTTCTCCATGTGGACTACTGCTTTAATTTTAATGATTAATAAAAATAAATAGTCATGATATCAAATTTTTTAAAAAATACAAAACTCCAGACAAGCACTTTGTTTGGTTCAAAAATCACTGCCCCCAATTCTAAGCGCTTCTTTGTAGTGTCCCTCGCTTGTCAGCAGACCCTGCTGCTGTGTGTGGTGCGGCGCCTGAGACTGACTTGCGAGGGAGGAAGGGCAACCAGGACAGTGAAGGCTGGGAGGGCAGGGGTGGGTGAGAAAACTGTTCCCGGAGGGAGAGCCTCAGAGTAGGAGTGTCTGCAGGTGCGACTCCTCGTTTTCTCTTGCGGAGCTCTAAGGAGTACAAAAAGGCAAGGAACAGGGCATCTGGTGATGCGAATGCACGGCAAATGGACCTAGAAGCTGGAGGCTGCAGTGAGGATCTTCCTCCTAACGTGGATCAGACATCCTCGTTATCGAAATGCTTCCCCCATTCAGTCATTTCACTCAAGTTAGATGAGCTGGACAGCTGGCCGCCTCCCAGGCTGTGCCTGAGCGCCGGCGCCCACATGGGGCCAGAGGTGTGTGTCGCCCAGGCAGGGAGGTCACTGCTTGTCGGTCACACCACCTCTGCAGGTTGTTTATTTTCGCCACTTTTAAAGCTCCAGTTTAAGAAAAAATTGCGCTTTTAAGAGAAATTTTAAGTATTCAATGAAAGCAAGCAGCAGAATGTGGTGATTCTCCATAAATCCAACCTTTGGTAGGCGCCCAGTGAGTGAACACTGCTGGAAGTCGGCAGGCATTTCATAGTGAGCATTTACAGAACTTCTCCAAGGAACTGTTTTGTGTTGGGAAGAATCAAACAAACAAAACAGGGGCACATCTTGGCACTGTAGGTTTTCTTAAGTAGTATCCAGTGAACAGAGTAAGAGGAAGTTCGAGGGCAGGCATGGTGGACAACAGGACACCTGTCCTTGTAATCTGTCTTCCTTGGTTTCTTTCACAAAGTCTAATTTTACTAAACAAGGATTATGAATTCCAGTATTTCAGAGTAAGTCCACAATGACCCTTAAAATAGACAATATGCAGGTGCAACCAAAAGCACGAGAGAAGTCTGTCTAATTAGCACTCTTCTGGAAGAGTCCTCTGAATCCCACTTACCTCACTGGACATCTCTTTGGTTTAAACAAATGCAAGCAGAAGAAAGTCCCATTTTAGTAATTCTTTGG